GAGGCAAGGACATCCAATAAAAACTAAGACAAATGTTAATGAGAAAGGTCAAAGTTCCTGGACTGGATTCTGTCACGTGGCTAGCAAAACACACCCTTGCTAAATGAGTCAGTCCACAATCTGTACCCCACTATGCAAATTATCAAAGTTTAAATATGGTAGGATCCAGCATAAATAAATAGTTCTTAGTTCATAAGTATGGGTCAGGGTATACTTAAATAAAGCTTGTTCAATCCTAAATCCACTGGGAGTTAGTTATACTGTGAAATTACTCAAAGGTAAGTAAGTGTTTTTCATAGCCAAACCACCGCCTGTATAGGCTGAAGGAATCTTCCTTGCCTCTAGTACCAGGAATTTTTGAAAGTGAGCGTCATTCTTGGTGCAACTCCCGAAGTCAAAGATTGTGATAAAGTCTTATCTGTCACTTCTAATGTATTTTAATTGAGGAGAAACTTTTCACCCAGGAATCTCAAGATTGTATAGGATTTGAAGTAGTACAAACCTATGCAAAACTGGCTTGTCTGGGAGTCAAATTAGAATCAAGAACCACCTTTTCAACAAGGCTGTGTCACCACCCAGCCCATCATCATCCAGGTACCTCATAATAACCTATATTGTTCATCTTATCAATACCTGGAGAAGCTACAGGATGTGTCACACTACCTAGCTGACAGATGATACTCAGTCATCATCATCAAGTGCTCCAATCAAGGGTCTTGTGCCTACAGACCTCTGCCTGATGTTGCCTAAACCGTGCAAGAACTGTTGACACTATAGAATATATATTTCTTCAACACTCATTCTGGGTGCATATATCTATATCAAAACAGTGACATTAAACTGATAGTGAGAGATTCCCAGAGATCTAGAGAGCAATTCGCCAAGTGAACTGTTTCTCGTATACTTGTGGTGCCAGTTTTTAACTTTGAAGCAGATGTCTCCCTGGCAGCTGTAGGGAGGAGACAGTCAAGTCTACAACTGCCAGATGAGTATTGTATTCAAACCATGAGGTGACAGCCATCTGGAAACTCTGGGCCTAAAACTTACGGTTGCCATACATAACACTCAGGGCTATGATGAGATAGACAGAGTGACCTTTGGCAGTCCAGGAAACATTCTTGATTCTCATAAACATTCTTGGTGTCTTATTTTCCTGTGTGTCTTTCCTCTTTGTCAGTCACTTGAATTGTTTTATATTGCTCTTATCTGATTTTTTAAATTTTAATTTTTAATTTTTTTTCTGCCTTTAATATACCAATTTTGTAGGCAGGTTTTTTTTTTTTAGCCTTATATGATTACATGATGTATTGTTATTCTGAAAGTAACTTTGTTGGTGTCTTGAATTTCATAGTTAATTTCAGTTAGTTCTTTGTGTGTTACTGTTATTCAATCAGATAATTTTCGTGTGCTGTGTTTTGACTGATAGTGATCCTATCCAGTTTGGGGGGGAATCAAATGGTGAAGATGTCTAACCAAGTTGTGCCCTGGAAAATCTTTGGTGCCAATAACTTGAGTAACCTCATCCCTGAAAGGGGTGTTGGATGGTTGTTGGAGCTGTGGGTTTGCCATCTAGACCAATATGAGCCACCATCACAACATTTTGCCATTCCAGAGTGTCTTGTGCAATTGGGGGTGACCCTAATTTATACATGTGACAAAACCGTCTTGTGACAGACTCCACCCATGATATTGAAACAACTTCAGAGGACAGGAAAGAATGAAAGAACAGACAGTGTGCCCTATGTGATGTGTAAAGACACCAAAGGCAGATGATGATGAAGATGGTAATTCACATTTGTAAATGTTCAGGTACATTCGAATTTGGTGAAATATCTCACAAAAAATAAATGCTCCCACAAATTTTAAACTGTGTAAATATTTTGATATACTGAGACACAATATAAAAAAGCAGAGTAAACAGTTACATATTATCACATGTCAAACTGTATAAATAGTATATTGTATATAGGCATAAATAATTCATTATAAAAACACTTTAACTGTGCAAATAGTTCCAGTATACTGAGTTTGGATGTAATAAGTCCAAAACCACAAAAATAAAATAATTTCTAATTGTGTAAATAGATAGAGTACATTGAATCTGAGAATAACTAATTGAGTCAATAATTTGATATAAAAATACATTTCAACTGTGCAAACAGTACAAGTATATTGAATTTTGGTGCAATATATTAAGCGTAAAAAGAAAACTTTACTATACATTAAAAAAAGCACAACATATTTAAATCACTCCACACAAACATCACATAAATTCTTAATGATTCCCATCCAATTTAATGGGTGTTCAATAATACTGAATGTTGTAGAAGTGTTCACTGACTAGAAAAACAGAAAGCAAAACAGCAACGTTTTTGACTCCCCCTCCCCCCCCCCCCCCCCCCCCCCCCAAAAAAAAACTGCCATCGTCTATTTCTTTCTGTTCTAAACAATGCACTATTATGAATAATTGGGTATTATTAACATGTACTAATCAACATGTTATTTGTGTTTTTGCATCTTGAATGTTGTATTAAGAATCAACATCACAGCACTCGGGACACTCATAAAAGTGCTCAGTTCCCATCTTCAGCAGCAAGCGAAGAGTTCCAATTCCGATGGTACCAGTAACTGTCTAATTGTATATCCGTCTCATCCTTCCACCGAGTGTTGAGCGTCAACCAAATTCCCTGGTAACTCCTCGCAGCGCCATTTTCCTTAGTCTGTAATGATATATCTGCCCCTCTGCACTGTTAACTCGCTCCCAAAGGGCCCTCACAATATCTAACTTGTCATTCTTCCATTCACCACCAAGTAGTGCACAGCCAGCCAGTCTATCTACCTACTCATTTCCCAACACACCGGCATAACCTGCAGAAAATATCCAAAGGATGCCAACTACCCAGGATCTATGAAGTGATGCTTGCCACTCTGCATGAAGCATGCCTGTTTTCACCTTTCTCAACATGCTCTGTGAATCAGTTACAATCACCGCATGTGTGTACAGCTGATTCTAAAGCCAATTTTTTATGTCAGGAAAAAAATTAAAATCCTAAACTGCACAGCCTGTGGCAACAGCAGTAGCCTTTTGCCCTAAATCTTCAGGCTCAAAGATTCCTCTACCAACACGGCAAAAGTGGTAAATACAGTCAGTAGGGGTAGATTATGTAACCGTTCATGCCTTTAAATCTGACAAAAATGACGTCAAGCACACACACGAAAGCAAGTTTTAAAAAATGAACTTTGATTTATTAAATAAATTGTGTAAATAATATAAAAACCAATACTGCATTGCAAATAACACAACAACGGCAAGATATGAATTTTTGTTTGTTGAACATTTAAAATGCACCAGTGACTTCAATTTTTACATAGTGACTGTTTCTGTGACATGTAAGATGAGACTTCTTCAGTGTTTTTCATTTCTGGCGGTAACAGTACGATGTACCGGCACCTTTTTTAAGGCATCATTTTATCAGTGCTACAGTAATAGAAACTTTGTGGTGATAACCAGCACTTTTTGTTCTAGAAAAAAACCCTGGGTGGCTTTGTCTATCTGTCAGAATTCTTCTCATAGTCTTTTGTCTCAGGTGTTCTTTACCATATCTGATACAGATATTTCCATGTCATGATGTCAAACTGTCCATCTTCTTCTCTCTTGGTCTCCTTCAACCTCCTCTTCACCTCCAGCTCCCATACTGTCAAGATGTATCTCAGTTTCCTTTTTCTTATAATATGATCTTCTTCTTTTCTTTACCTTTAACCACTTTGAGTGTTGAGGGAGATATAAGGTTCTGCTTCTTCCTATTCTAGGCCCCTCAAACATGGACACATCATGCTGTTTAGAGTTCCTCTGGTGTTATCTTTCCATCTTGTTCTTGGTCTACCTACTGATCTGCCTCTTCCTCCTCTTTTAGTATACGCCTTGTGTGATGTTGCATCACTATCTCTCTTCTCATGTGGGATGCAAATTTTTGTTATTTATAGTCCCACCCTGGCTGTTGCCAGGGATCCTTATATAACCCGACCTAAGGGTTGAATGGGGTTTCTAGGACCTGTCCCCAGGTGATCCTCATCTGAATAGTGGTACTTTGAGTCACCGGGTGTTTATCGCTTTGTGTGAAGTCCTGGTGGGGTAAAACATCAATCTAAGTAGGCAAACCAATGTGATCAAAGAATTTAAAATGCCTCCTTCTGATGTGTTATTATCACTACTTTTCGTGATTCTTTCTTTCCAGACATCTTCATTGTTCTTTCAGTCTGTCCAAGATGTTCTCAGTATTTTTTTTAAAACCACATTTCTCCAGTTTTCACATGTTTTCACTGATTGGCTGACTGCTCATGATTCACTTCCATACATCAAGATTGGCTTTAGACAGCTATTGAAAACTCTCTTTATCCCCTCAACTGTCTGTCAGTAAGAAACATCTTTTCTGTATGCTCAATTTTCTTCTTCTTCTTCACGTTCACCAGCTGTAAACTTTGACGGAAAGCTCTGCTTGTTCGTCCATTTTTGGATTTGTCTTATTCTAGAACTTGAGCTTTGCGTGCACATCAGTTTTACAGATCTGGCTTATTTGTAAGTAGACTGTTGGCCCATCACCTCTCAGGCAGATGCACTCTGACTTCAAAGGAAATATCCCTAATCAGCTGCCTTTTGCATAGTGCCTGTAAAGGGTTGTAGATCTATTCTTCTTCTCCCCCAAAATGGAGACCCAGAACTAATATAGGGATACATGCTCAATCAATCTCCTGCCCACAGTTATTCCTTTTGTTTCTTTACAGATCAAAACAAGTCTAAAATTGATTAACACATACATATTGCAGAATTCACGAAGTGCTTAAATAGAGAAAAACAAAATATATTAAAACATAGTAACTAGATAACTGAGAGCACAACAAACACACACAAACTGTGACATGAAGTGCTGACTGTATTGTTGACTGATGAGATCCAGAAAGTTGTAGGCTGATGAATTTTTAAGAATGTGTTTGCACATTTTCTATTGAGCTGCTTGCTGCCTTATCTGCTATAAATGAATGAAAATTTCAGCAAAGATATTACTGCAGTGTAATTGTTCACACATACACACATATATACTCACACACACAAATACATGCACATATACACACATATATATGTGACATACACTGGGGAAACCTCCTGATATAAAAAGTGATCTTCCTCATAGCGTTCACCGACGGTGAACCCCGGCAGAGAGTTTTTGTTGTTAATCTGCTTCTGGACTTTGGTTTTGTTCCAGAACTTGAGTTTTGCATGCACATCAGAGCACAAAACTGATCCAAAGATCCAAGATGGGTGATTAGGGCAAGCACATGCGCATGCGCACACGCAAGCACACACACACATATACACACACACATATATATATCAAAAGTGAAGTAAAGAATCCTGTTCCATGTCTTCAGTTGTATCGGGCATATAGGGCTAGACGTTTATTTTATGGACCAATCGTCACTTAGTGGGTGATGTGGTCAACATAATACTGGTTGCTTTTACTTCCCTGGACTGCACCTGGTAGCCATTTTAGGCTGGGTTGACCTGGAAGCCAAGGTCATTTTTGCAAAATTCACAAACACACACAAACACACGTTACATACTCACTCATGGATGTAAATACTAGATATGCAGAGAAGTGTAATACAATGATGAAGAAAATGGAGGGAAAATAAATGTGGTTTTTGAGAAGAGTGTTGAAAATTCTGCTTGCAGAGAGGTAAACAAGTAATGACTGTCGCACTACTAGTTACTAGTTTTATAAATGAGACTTATAGACAATAACAACAGAAGAGCTAGAACAGAGAAATCAACCTCAAGCTGGGAAATACAAAGCATGTGACACAAAGAAAGATACACATAATTAAATGTGGAAATATTTACCAACAAGACAACAAATAATAATTTCAGAAACATCAATTTTTTAAAAATAATGGATGACAGACAGAACTGCAAAGTCATGATCTCATTGTCTACAAAACTGTGACAGGATAAATAATGATTAACATTTAAAACTATGCATTCTACCTTATAAAATTTATAATTAATCACTTGCATTGTTAGGGCTAATAAAGTGCAATAGCTAGGGTATACAGAGATGAGAGAATGGCTGATAAAAAGACAAAAAACTGTATATATATATATATATATATATATATATATATATATATATATATATATATATATATATATATATATATATATATATATATATATATATATATATATATATATATATATATATATATATATATATATATATATATTTTTTTTTTTAATTGATGAGTCATTGACTAGAAAGAGGTCAGTAGTTTATAAATATATAAATATTCACAATACTTTCTGTTACTTGATTAACTTATAAATATATGGAGGCAGGTTGTTGTTGTTCGTCCATCACGAGTGATGAAGACCTCTTTTCATCCAAAGTAGTAATGATCTATGATTATGAGTAACTGGATGAAAGTGACTTGCATAAAGACTTGGATTTAAGTGAAGAAGAGGCAGGTGACATCTGCAGCGAAAAACCTTAAGGCTTGAAAGGCTGGAGGAGGAGGTTAAAGGGTAAAGTCAAGAGGGTAGACTTCAGTGCACCTTGTTTTATCCCACGTGGCACAGTCTATCTCCAAGAATGGCTAGCTGCCTGCCAAGGGCATCACACAGAACATGGAAACCTAGCTCTGGCGATGGTCGTCAGGAGTCTCCATAAAAACTGAACTTGTGAACCGAACTGCTCAGCAGTGAAATTAACCCATGACCTTCAAAGCGCAAGACAAATAACTTGACCACTTCGACATAGAGGCCCTAACCCCTGGAGGAGGAGGAGAAGTTTTCAACCTTACCTTGTCCATGATGTTGTTTTCGTTGATGTCAGAAATCTCAGAAGCATAGACTCTGACATGTACAGGGCCGAACAAGGCCTCCGCCATGCCTTTGTGGGTGGAAACCTTTGCCTTTGTTAATGGTTTGACATCGGTACCAATCCTTAAGAGGAAAAAATGGAAAATGCTATATGATGGCAATGGGAGGCTAATCAGTCTTCATCAGTTCTCGTTATGCCTAGTGGCACATGAGGCTTCAGAGAGGACTTTCCATGCTTTCCTGTCCTGTGCAATCTTCAGTGCAGTTTTCCATGTCAAAGATGCCGCACTCAGGTCACTTTCCATCGTTCGTCTCCATGTTGTTTTTGAGCGCCCCTGTTTTCTCTATCCCTCTGGTGTCCATGTGAGAGCTGTCTTGGCAGGTATATCAGAAGTCATTCTCATAACGTGGCCAAGCCATTTCCATCTTCTCTTGGTAATCATACTGTCTAAAGTTTCTTGGTTTGTGGCTTGAAGTAGTTTAGTGTTTGAGATTGTATCTGGCCAGAAAATTTTGATAATTCTACACAGACATGTGTGGTGGAAGGTGGACAGCTTGTGTGCATCTTTTTTGGTCATTCTCCAGCATTCCGCTCCATAAAGAAGAACTGGAAAAATGATGCTCTTGTAGAGTCGGAGTTTCGTTCCTCTGCAGTAATTGTTGGATTTCCAGATTTGCCTCATCCTTCCAAAAGCAGCTCTAACTTTGTTCAGACGTGACTGTATGTCTTCCTCTGTCCCTCCCAGTAGGGACACCACACTGCCAAGATATGTGAAATGTTCTACATTTTCAAGTGATTGGTTACTTATGGCCACTGGATTTTTGGTTTGGACTGTTTGTCATGATCTTAGTTTTTCTTTGTATTTATTTTCAGTCCCACCATTTCTTCTGTGCAGTTTAGTCTGTTACTTTTCTCTTGTATATGTTCATGTTTATGTGATAGGAGTGCTATATCATCTGCAAAATCAAGGTCCTCAAGCATGGTGAATGGAGTCCATCGTATGCCTCTTAATGTCCTGTCTACTGTGTTCTTTAGTATCCAATCAATCACAAGGTTGAAGAGGAGAGATGACATAACACATCCCTGTCTTACACCCGTCTTTACTGGGAAAGATGTATTGTAATTTTTTATACTGCAGGAAAAGTCTTTATAGAAGAGAGCAATTATGTTGACTATTTTTTCTGGAATTCCATAATGTCGTAACATTTTCCACAGACCGTCTCTATGGACGCTGTCAAAAGCTTTCTCAAAGTCCACAAAATTAATATATATACTTCTCTGCCATTCGTTGCATTGTTCTAAAATGTTACGTATGGCGAAGATATGCTCAGTTGTTCCTCTGCCCTTTCTGAATCCTGCTTGTTCCACTCGTAAGGCATTTATCTACTCCTTTTTCAAGCCGCATTATGATGATTTTACAAAATATTTTGCTTGGTACTGAGAGTAGAGTAATTCCCCTCCAATTATTGCAGTCTGTTAAGTCTCCTATTTTGGCGATTTTGACTATTGTTCCTTCAGTCCAGTCATCAGGCAACACTTCTTTTTCCTAAATATCCTTGAACAATGGTTCTAGAATGCTAGCACTTGTGTTGGGATCTACTTTGAGAAGTTCTGCTGGCAGTTCGTCTTTGCCTGGTGCTTTGTTGTCCTTTAAATTGTGGATAGCTTTAAGGATTTCTTGTTTGCTTGGTGGTTCAGTAATAATGTCAATGTCCTGAGAGGCTGGTTGAATATCTGGGGGATTTTCAGGATCAGGTCTGTTCAAGTGGTCGGAGAAGTGTTTAGTCCACTGCATGTCTTGTTTTTGTTCTGTGGTGAGCAGTCTGCCTTGGTTATCTCTGATGGGTATGCTGTGATAATTGTTTCTGTTTCCGCAAATTTGCTGGGTAATTTTGTGTAGGGTTTGTAGATCATGTGCTTTAGCAGCATTTTCTGCTGTTTCTGCAAGATTTTCCATAAATCTTCTCTTGTCAGCTCTGGCACTTTTCTTGGTCATTTTTTTAGTTCGCTATATTGTAACATTAGTTTGTCTTTCTGACGTTCTGATTTAGTGTGATTTATGAGGCTCTTTATTCTTTTTCGCTTGGCAATATAGTCCATGGTTTGACTACTTATCCATTCTTTGTGGTGTTGTTTCCTGGTTCCTAATATGTTATTGCTAGTTGATTTGTATGTTTCTTTGATCTGGTTCCATCTGTCCTGAATGCTGATTGTAGTTGGAGTTTCTGGGTCACTTGATAGGGTTTGAAATCTATTCTTGAGTTCTACTATAAATTTAGTGGCAATGTATTTTTCTCTTAAAAGGTTAACATTTTAACGTACTGTCTGTGTCTTAACTTGCGTGTAAACTTTTTTGAGTTTAAGTCGTAGTAGAGCGACTACAAGGTGATGATCGCTTCCCACATCTGCTCCCCCTTTTGACATGCACATCGAGTAGGGACCCACGCCATTTTCTGTTTACCATGAAATGGTCGATTTGGTTTACATCTCTTCTGTTTGGGGATATCCATGTAGGCTTGTGTATATTCTTGTGTTCCTCCTATAACAAGTCTATTCGCCGTGCAGAAGTCACTCAGTCTTTCCCCGTTGTCATTAATTGTACCACATCCTTGATTTCCCATTGATAGTTCTCTGTTCAAGTTGTTGTTACCAACTTTTGCATTGAGATCTCCCATAATGCATAGAATATCATGGGCTGGTACTTTATCTACTACCTCTTGCAATCTCCTATAGAATGTTTCTTCATCTTCATTAGTCCGTGCGTAGCATTGGATGACTGTAAGTTTGGCATGTTTGCCATTGAATCGTGCTGTCATTATTCTTTCATTGATTGGATGCCACTCGATGAGATGTTCGTGTAAACCTTTCTTTAAAATAAGTGCCACGCCTGCAGAATGTAGGTTATCATCTCTTCCAGAGTATATTATGGTTTCTTCTGTACCTGTTGTGGATTGTCCAAACCCTGTCCACCTGCTTTCACTAATTCCAAGAATATGCAGTTTATAGTTCTGCATTTCTTTAATTACTTTGTCAGTTTTGGCCGTTTCAAACATGGTTCTTACATTCCAGAAGCCAATTCTTAATTTGGTTTTGACATCCAGCAGACTTGTTTTCCCATCAAGGACTTTCACCCATGTTGTTCATGCTGAATGGGAGGCCAAGGGGATACAATATAATGGATGATGGGAGACCACAACAACAACAAGATGACAGTGAGAGATCTCATCTCACCAATCAGCAAGTCCTTTACAGAACATCGCTCTCTTCACGGCACACCTGAAAGTATCCCTTTCCCTAGCCAGCTCTCCAGCCCCATGTGCTTTCAATACCAATGCATCTTCAATGTCCTGTATCCATTTTTGCGGTGGTCAACCCCTGCCTCGCCTTTCACAAACTGCCCCCTCCATCACCGACATTTCCAAGCTTGATGTGGCCAAAATACTTCAACTTTCAGGACACAATGCTGTTTATGAGCCAGTTCTCCTTGATGTTCAGCTCGTTTAGAATGTCGATGTTTTTTCTCTTCTTGATTCATAAGTGTATTAGTGGGAGATCAGAGACACAATATAATGGCAATGGGAGGCTAGGGATACAATACAATGATGATGGGAGACTATCAAGGCAGACTGAGACAGAGAGAACAGATGCTAGACAGTTTGACATCATGGCCTGGAGGATCATCTGCATCAGAGTTGACTGAAAGAACACGAGACAGAAGGTTGTGGACAGATATGACTACCAATGCCACACAGCATGGACTTTAAGAAAAAGGGAGACCATAGGGCAACAATGGGAGATTAGGAACACAATAAGATGACATTAAGAGATTGGAGACACAAGAAGATGACATTTAGAGATTGGAGACACAATAAGATGACATTTAGAGATTGGAGACACAATAAGATGACATTTAGAGATTGGAGACACAATAAGATGACATTTAGAGATTGGAGACACAAGAAGATGACATTTAGAGATTGGAGACACAATAAGATGACATTTAGAGATTGGAGACACAATAAGATGACATTTAGAGATTGGAGACACAAGAAGATGACATTTGGAGATTGGAGACACAAGAAGATGACATTTGGAGATTGGAGACACAAGAAGATGACATTTGGAGATTGGAGACACAAGAAGATGACATTTAGAGATTGGAGACACAAGAAGATGACATTTGGAGATTGGAGACACAAGAAGATGACATTTGGAGATTGGAGACACAAGAAGATGACATTTGGAGATTGGAGAAAAAGAAGATGACATTGGGAGATTGGAGACACATGAAGATGACATTTGGAGATTGGAGACACAAGAAGATGACATTTGGAGATTGGAATGAGGCCATAAGAGAACAAGTTGGCACAGAACCAATTCTAAATCACATGCAAAGTCAGCAAATCAAATGGTTTGCCCACTTAAGAGAGAATGCCTTGTGACATCATACCATTCAAGACCTACACTAAACTAGAAGGTTGTACAGCACAAGCAAGACCAAGAAGGAAAGATAACATCTGAGAAACTCTACAACAGCACAATGTCTCTATGGTCGAGGTGGACAGAAGCAGGACCTTATATCTTCCTCGACATCCGAAGTGGAAAAAGAGAAAGTTAAAAATCATTAATTAATTTGGGACATTACTGAATACATAATTTATAGTAAATGCTGATAACTTACCAAACAATGTACACAAATTTGATTGTTGTGATGTCATCACTATCTGTGTGTGTGACACGGAACAGACCGTACATGGGTGTCAGGTCTTCAAGGCAGCCTGTCAGATCATCTAAACCTCCTTCACCGCAGTCAATGCACTGAATAGGACCTGGAACATATGATTTATTATTGAAATCACTCTTCAACGAACTCCTCTTCACAATCATTGCACTGAATGTGCGGATCTCCCAGTGTGGGTTCCAGAGCCCTGTCTGGGGGGGGGGGGCAATAAAAGCTGTGATGCCCCCAATAAGCAAGCCGTAAAAGGTGAATTATAAGGAAATAACCTCGTATCAACAGTTTTAGACACAGAAGATGGCGATTTACTGGACATATTCTGAGAAGAGACAAACAGAATCACCAAACAGTCACTGAGTGAGTGAGTTAGTGAGTGAGTGAGTGAGTGAGTGAGTGAGTGAGTGAGTGAGTGAGTGAGTGAGTGAATGACACACAATCCCAACAGGACCACACAACCAGCAATTAATACCCAGTGACACAAAGTGCCACTATTCAGATGAGAATCTCCCAGGCGCAAGTCCTAGAAACCCCGTTCAAAAATGAGGTTATATTAGGGCCCCTGATGACAGCAGACTTGTTCACAGGCACTGAAATGGGAATAAAGGGTTTGGGGGAACAAGGAGGTCCAAGAGAAATCCTAAGAGGAACATAAGAGAAGCCAAAGATGCTGGACTAGATTCTATCCATGACACTGATGTGACTGCAGAGGATAAAACAGAATGGAGGATTAGTCTGTGAGACCTATGTGATGTAAAATGGAACAATAGGACAATGAATGAGTCATCTGGGATGTAATGGGCCGAAAGGCACAGATAGTTAGGCCAAGCTGTAAATCACAACACAATATGCTAATCACCATTTTAAGACTGAATTAAGAGGAAGAAGTAGGTAGGTAGGTAGTTGTACCCCACCAGGACATCACACAAGCGACAAACACCCGGTCACACAAAGTGCCACCATGCGGATGTGGATCACCCGTGAAGAGGTCCCAGAAACCCCTTTCAGCCGTTAGGCCATATCTAAGGCTAGGCCATATTTATGCCCTGGCTATATTCAGGGCCTTCGGCTGAAGCCAGGGTGGAGCTTCAAATAAAAAAAAATTGTATCCCACATGGGGACGACTGTTCAATATGCCTGACAAGAAGAAGGAGAAGGAGGAAATGAAGAGTGGGGACTGTAAACATGTGCACTCAATGTTTTATTTTACTGTCCAATAGACTCACTTCCTCACAGTCAGTGCACTCACTGTTGTTGCAATCATCATCATCACAACTACCACCATCACCACCACCACCATCATCTGTTTTATGTCTCTGGAATGCTGCCTGAAGGTCTGATCACCCCTGAGACTTCAGGAATCTTAGCCTGGATGGCAGATCAACAGGGCAAATCCCCCTCCCCAGATACTACCATTAACCTCCAAAGAAGGCCAAAGTTACAACTGGAGCACCCATATTGCTAATTTATTCTGACGTAGCCTGAAGTCCAATGGAAGTAAGGACTTCATCTATTTGTGAACACACTCGATACTCAAATTTTCCTAGCTGGGTGCATTCTGGGGCCTGATTGTGGCAGAAAGAAGAATAAATACACTGCCTTTCTAACAAGCATGTCAAACAAGGTGACTAATAAGGGGAGTTTTCCTTCCTTATAGTCAATGCACTGAATGGCACCTACAGTAAATCCATCAGTACACAAAGAATAACAGTGCAAGTTCTGGACTTGAATCCTTCTTTATCTTCTTCTTTGTTTTCACCAGCTGTACACTGCCAGGTGGAAAGTCCTCAGTTTTTTCCTCTACTTCTGGACTTTTGATTTGTTCCAGGACTAAAGTGCTGCATGCACATCCATTTTACAGACCTGGCCTATTTGTGTGCAGCTTGCTGGTTCCTTGCCTATCAGGTAGAGGCATTCTGACTTTGAAGGAAATGTAGTTTCTAGGATGACCGTGAAGAGATCGTGCGGTTTAGCAACTGTGCAACCCAGTCTTAAATCCAAATGGTGGCCTTCTAATTATGGAAGTAGATTTATTTAGCTAAAAGAAACTAATCCGGACTGTCCACACATGACAGTCTGCTGCTAGCATTTCAGCTTCTGGCAAAGATTCTGCTGTCAATTTCCTAATGTTTTTTATCTCTGTATGTTTTCTCGATGAACCCATGCTTTGTGTCCACCAGCTGTAAACTCTGAGAGAAAGTTCTGGTTGTTCAAGACTTTAATCTTGTTCAAGAACTTGAGTTTGGCATACACGTCTGTTTTACAGATCAACCCGCTTGTGAATGTGAGGTAGACAGACAAACACCTGAGCATGTCCTGAAGGATTACCCTAACTACTTCCAGGAGAGGCCGAGGAACTGGCTCAACAGTCACATTGCAAGACAAGCTGTGGGGGGGCTGGTGGCAACCTTATAAACACCATCATGTTTGTAACCCAGTTGGGACTAAATGTTTAGCATGACTGATGTCAAATGCAGAAAAAGAAAAAGGGCAAAAAAAAAAAAGAAAACCACTGGCCTTAATTTGTTAGGCTGCAACCACAGAGAGGACAATTTGTTAGGCTGCAACCACAGAGAGGACAATTTGTTAGGCTGCAACCACAGAGAGGACAATTTGTTAGGCTGCAACCACAGAGAGGACAATTTGTTAGGCTGCAACCACAGAGAGGACAATTAAACAAAATATCTTTAAAAACAAAGTTCTGGTCCACAATTGCTCCAGTGAGCATAGTCTGATCTTGTACTTCATACACTACTATCTGTAACAGTAGAATGGAAAAGCTTGATGTAATGACTACACACCATCAGGATTCGCATCCATGTATCCAGCAACCATCCACGTAGCAGGATCATCATCTGACCTCACTTTAGAGACTGCTTCAAACACATCGGGTAAGACATCTACTTCGGCACCCTTAGCAGACACAGCGACGACGTCAAAATGTGTCTTCTTCTCCCGCTGTGGCAACTGAGTCTGCGTGAATCCCCTCATCTGCCAGGGAGGAACCTCAACCGTTTCTATGACCCTTGATGTGATCCCTGTTGTTTCATTCAACTAAAATGCAAATTTACATATTCAGGATTAATGTGCCTTACTAAGTGACCTGAAAGGGGATAATTGGTATACCTGACAAGAATAATCCCAGTAAGGGTTCTGGGGCTCTGTTTGGAGAATAAAGAACAGCCCAACTGCCCCCCCCCCCCTCACTTTCCCCCACCCCTAAACAAGCTTATTATAGGAGGCAAATAATTAGGGATGTTTCCTTCAAAGCTAGAGTGCATCTGCCTGAGAGGCAAGGAACCAACAGTCTGCACACAAATAATCCAGATCTGTAAAAGAGATGTATGCAAAACTCAAGCTCTGGATCAAAACCAAAGTCTAGGAGTGGAATAACAACTGGAACTTTCCCCCAAAGTTTACAGCCGGTGAATGCTAAAGGAGAAGAACATAAGAATACAACTAGAATGTCTTTACACTGGAACCCATAGAGTAACAGAAATAAAGGCAGACCAAAAACTACATGAAGAAGGGAACTAGAGTGTGAAGTTAAACAGATAGGGAGGACATAGGGTCAATCTCATGCAGTAGCAAAGGATCCCTGCATTTGGTGTGAGTTGACTGAGGGCCTTTGCTCTACTGAGGAATAAAGGGCACAAGAAAAAAGAAGGGATTTAAAGAAAGGAGTCAACTAGAGATTACAGCATCAGTCTCTGGCTTGAGTAGTCCTGGCCTGTCTCTCACTGTTTTTTACAAAATGTTTACAAAATTAGAAAAAGGATCACATGCTGCCTCCCTACACTACGGTGGTAGATCAAATGTCTAGCCTTCTCTGAGAAGTGTGAACAACTTGGAAAACTCATGTGCATGTTGCACACATTGAAATAATTTAAAGAAGAAGAAGAGGAAGAAGAAGAAGAAGAAAAAGAAGAAGAAGAAGAAAAAGAAGAAGCAGAAGAAGATGAAGAAGAAGAAGAAGAACCCTTGAGGTTCACTGCTGCAGATATCACCCGCCTACATTCATCTCTGTGATTGGTCATTTCTTTCTAGTTGATAAATCCCAGTATCTGTAGGTCTGCCTGTGTATTGTCTCCCCACCCTTTGAGGTTCACCGCTGCAGATATCACCCGCCTCCATTCATCTCTGTGATTGGTCATTTCTTTCTAGCTGGTGACTCCAGGCATTTGTAAGTCTGCCTGTTCACCATCTTCTTCATCTGTTTTGTCCTTACTGAAATTTTTAAAACAGAACTCAGCTCCCGACTGACCAATCCTGAGACTGGTACCAGTCAATGTTCATGGAAGTCAGGGCAGCTGGTGAAACTGAACATATCATGCATCCAGTGATGATTGGTCTATACAAATATGGGGTTAGCAGTGGCTCTTATTTTTGTGTGTGTGTGCTCAATTTTCTGCTTTATGCTGCTAGCATCCCAGGTTAACAAATGATCAATTTCCAAGCTAGGGCACAATAGATTTCCCGATATGCTGTGATGTTGTGGAATCACAAGATATCAGTGACACCTTCAATCCATATTTTTCTTAGTCTGCCCCTACCTTCTGGTGTTTCTAATTTCATGTTGCATGCTCAGGTTGCTGACATGATTGGATTTATTCTCATTAAATGGTCAAACAACTCTGGTCTTTGTTTTTCAATCAAGGTGGTGTTTCAACAGTTCTTATAACTTTTTTCATTGATCACATGATCTCTTCTAGTTTTGTTCATGGCCTTTCTCAAACATCTCATTTTGCAGGTGGTTAGTTTTCTTTCATGTTCTTTAGTCAATGTCCAAGTCTGACACTGATAGCACAAGGTTGGTATCAAGACTGCACTCATAACTTGTCTTTTAATCTCTATTGGGACAGCTTGGTATTTGGAAATTGGGGTCAGTTGATATGTGACATTGTTGGCTTGTTAGATTCTTGTTTCAATATATCTGTCTATTCTGCCATCATATTTAAAGATGCTCTCCAAGTGTTTAAGTGTTAAACTTGTTTTAAACCTTGGTCTTTTATTTTTATGTCGATTGTTTTATGTTCTCTTGTTAAACTTGACTTCTGTGGGATTTTTTTCAATGTTTATTTTCATATTATGTCTAAGGCGGCTGTCATGTAGTTGGTTCATGTGGTCCTGTAGCTGATTAACTAGACAGTGGAATATCACTGACTGGTCTCCACACACAAATTATGGGGGTTAGAATCAGAAACTCTGACAGGACTCAAGACAAAGCAAGAGGTCCTTAAGAGCATACCATGTGAAACATCTTCTCTGAGTCTAAATCTTCAGGGTTGCTAGCCTCCACTTGTAAATGGTATGGAGAGAATCTAGGCTCAACACTTCCACGGACAACAATGTAGCGACCTTTCTGTTTAATAGGGACATTTTCTCCAATCCTGTGGGGAAAAAAAAGGGTGGATTTAAGGATATAAAGTATTGTGGATATAAGGATATAAAGTATTGTGGATATAAGGATATAAAGTATTGTGGATTTAAGTACATAAAGTATTGTGGATATAAGCAGATGTACAGTGGAACCTCGTAAAACAAATATCAGTGGAACCAGCAGACATTTGGAATGTTTTTAGTGTGGATAGAAAAAGGTTCAACCAAATGATCAGCACAAATATCGGTCAAACACTAACATTGATAAACAGATTAGCTAGAGAAAAAAACCAGGAGTACACCAAATGGACATGGAGGCTGAACCTTCAGGACAAACCAGGTTGAGTTTGTTATTCAGCGTGTCAGACAAGGTCACTCACCACGGCACAAGAAAGAAATATTACAGACGCCAGAGAAGAGGTGTCAATGAACCTGAGAGATTAAGAAATGATGACATCAGAGAAATGGTAGGCGTAACACAAAGTATTGATTATATTGAGGCAGAATAAGCTGGTTTAGCCAACTAATAAGAAAGGAACTTCAAAAAAAAATACCCATGCAGGTCTATAAGTGTAGAAAAATGGGTTATGGAGCAAGAGAAAGATGAAATGTAGATGGATAGACAACATCAATACAATCTTCCAAAAGTTGTCCAACGTATTTACATAAATCATCTCAGAAAAACAGAAAAACTTTTCAAAACTCTGAAGCTCAACCTTTCAGAATCACATGTAAATAAATTATTATTATAGCATATAGAAACACACACAGTTGGCAGCTTTTCATTTTTTCTGATGATAGTGTTATATTCTTCTATGTAGAGGCATGAGAATCGCAGCCCAATGCAAAAAGTTCCATTCATCCTGTCTATAACACAAAGCCTGTGCAATATTGTAGAGACCATGTGTTGCCCATTCATCATGATCCCTTTCTCGGCCTACCTAGTGTACTTTTAAGGAAAGGTAACACCAGTACATTTCAAACAAAGCAAGCTGTAGAAGCTGATCAGAACAGTAGTGCTCTATCTGTCCGCTTGTCAGATCTTTCCTCCTAGACCAGCGGCCAGCCAAGGCAAAGGGCCTAGTCTGCCCTACCATAATATGAAGTTTTGGGGTTGCATTTCTTTTTCCTAGGATAAGACTATCATCCTCCCAATGAGCTCCTGCAAACAGAGCCGTTGGGACAATGTAGGATGTCAGGTTTGGGTTCTAGTAAAGTTTTCTGCTGCAGAAAAAGAGTGACTTTCCTTCCCATTCATGCCTTGTCGGCTGGTAGGGCCTCTCCTATGTTGCAGGGGTGTTATGATATGGCTTGCTTTGGCGTTTGCTCAGCATATGTAATGTTTATGGGAGGTTGTGTTGTTGTGAGTCTCTTTCAGGCACCTGTGTACAAGTAAAAAAGTACTGAAGAGGGAAGCCTTGCAGATGCGGCAATTCGTGAGTACTGTAACTGGGATGTTCTTGTATTTTTACGTTCGCTGATAGTGCTCCCCCCCCCCTTTTCCCTCATCGGGACAAAGAAGGCACTGACAAGGAACATAGAAATTTTAAAATGTAGCAGTTTCCATGCTGCCAAACCATCGCACAGGTAGCAGAACGTAAAAATATTCACGCAAGTGAGCGGTGAGAAGATGAGAAAAGAGAGAGTGGTTAAAGCGTTGACAATAAGGAATACATGACATCCCCTGTAACAAAGGAAAGGCCCTGTGACTGATTAGGCATGAATGGGAAGGGAAATCACTCTTTCTTCTGCGAAAAACATAAGCTGTACCCAGGTTTGTATACACCACCCAACAATTGGTGTTAACAGAAGACAGTTAGTACCTGCTACTGTTATAAGGCAGCGCGGTCATATTTAACCCTCGACCTGAAAGAAAAATAAACAACATTTAAAAAAACAAGAAAATACAATCATACGCCGCTTACCAGAAAGGTGAAGGCTCAAACAACGTGGATTATAACAATAACAATGCTGAACATAACAATAACAACACTAATCATAACAATAACAAAAAATATAAATACAAAAACTCACCAATGAATATAAATGAACTTGCCATTCACTAACTGGTCAAATTTGACTTCATATCTGGCCAACACATACATGGCTTCATTTGGGTCCATTTTAGAACTTATTTCAGATGTATCCTTTCCAGTAAACAGAATCTTAATCAAATTTGGATTGCCATCAATGTGTCCACAAACCACGTATGCTATTTCACTATTGTCATTTCTGATGTCTGAAACTGTTGCAATAAATTCTGATTCGTCTTCAAAGACAACTTCGGTACTCATCTGTTTTGATTTGTGAAAACAGTCAGGACAAGTGAAATACAGGACCAGCACACCAAACTCATCTTTTTTCAAATGAAACTCACCCTTTTGTCAATCAGATTCATCCCTTTTGCAAAATAAAACTCACCCTTTTGCAGATCAAATTTTCTACAATATTTGAATGCTATTGTAATAAACACAAAATTCAATTAAAGCTTTTGTTTAAATTAAACATTTTATTACCACACTTTAATGGAAAAGTGTGGCATTAAGCAACTATTCATTCTATAGCAAAATAGCTAGCTTCTAACTTGCTTAAAGGTGAATTTGGTGTGTCAGTTTTGTAATTATGAGGAGAGGCTGGCCAAATGGTTAAGAATACTGGCCTCTCATTCAGAAGTCACAGGATTGAATCATTAGTAAGGTGGTTGGATTTTTTTTCTATCAGAGAGAGGGACACAAATGAAATCCTAGCCTACACAGTTTGTGGCGACTGCACTAGCCATGAGGTCTTAAATCCTCAGACTCAAGTTCCCTCTGTCCTACACCACCCTAACAAATGGGAAATCAGCATCATCATCAAGTGACTTGTTAGCTGGGTTAGTCATTCATTCATCTCCACAGATTTTGGTCTTTGGTGTTCTAGGTCAATTCCACTGATGACATTCCTCCACGCTCTTCTACCAGTGATCTGTCTAGTTATCACAATATTTTCCAGTGCTCCTTTTCTCATGACATGACCTTAGAACTTTGTCTCCTTCTCATTGTTATATATAATGTTCTACTTTCATTAGCCATTTCCAGGCAATCATTGTTGGTTATTCTGGCAGTCCAAGGTATTCCAACATTCTTCTCAAGAACCACATCTCAGTTGCCTCCAAACTTTTCTTGATTTGTTTGCTTACATTCCAAGATTTACTGTCACACAAAAGAAAAGGCTTGACGTAACACTTCAGTACTTGTTTTCTCATTTTTAATGAGAGTGATGGTAAAAATTCAGTAATCTGGCTTATTTTCTCAGCAGAGGCTTGATTACTTTTTCCTACCAATTTAGTTCTAGGGTTGATCCAGCCTCTTAAAAAAGGCACTAAATAATTGTTAGGTCTAAAAGACTGCAATGGTAGTCATATAGTGAAAATAGCCAAAACAGAGAGAGACAAATTGTGTTCACAAAAGAACTGAATCACAGTAGGCCACGAGGTAGACCAGGAGAGATACAGGCAAACCCCAAAATACAATACAAGCTTGTGGAACATGAAAGATAATCACAAAATAGAATGCAGGCAGGGGATATCTGCAGCAATTAAGGCTCTGGTAAGGAAACATGAACCAATCATCTCCCTAATGCAAACGCGACCTGAAAGATATCAAGACTGACAAAGACACTTGTGAGAGATCAGCTGCAGACTGACTTCTATGGAGGCAGACAGTCAAAGACAGAGTGTTGCAATTTGCAAGATCCCCGTGTGGGTTCCGGGGTCTCATCGTGGGGAAAACAAGAATAGACCCTCTGCCTGCCCAAAAGCATGTCGTAAGAGTCGACTAATTGGGGAGCTTCCTTTGAAGTCGGAGTGCATCTGCCTGAGAGGCAAGGAACCAACAGTCTTGTTCAAGTGAATCAGATCTGTAAAACTGATGCACACGCAACACTCAGGTTCTGGAGCAGGACTGCAGTTCAGAAGTGGACGAACAACCAGAACTTTCCACCAGAGTGTACAGCTGGTGAACGCGAAGAAGAAGAAGAAGAATTTGCAAGAGGTTAAATGCAGCAAGCTAAAGAGGAGACATCTGGGGAAAAAAACTAGCCTCAGTATAATAGACTATCAACAATTTTTACGTGGATTCCATGGTTCCTAGGGACTGATGGTTGCCTACTACATCTCCCTCATATGTTTTGACCTAGCATATGTGATGATCTTCACACCCTAATGACAGCCCCTCATGTAGAATTCACAGAATTATCTTCCTAACTATATGTTAGCCTGAGTCAAGAACCTACATCACAGCACTCAAAATATTCCCATACATGCTACATTAACTTCAGCAGCCAGCAAAGAGTTCAAATTCTGAGTAGCAATTAGATTATATGTCCATCTTGCCTTTCCTCTAAGTGTAGAGTATTGGTCACTTCCTGCAGCACCATTCTCTCGAGACGGCACAGATCTGTTTAAGTTTCCGCACTGTTCACTTGCCTCCAGAGGGCATTGATTTCTTCTAGATTCTCATGTCTCAAGTCACAGCCAAGAGGTGCAGCACCAGCCAATCTGTCTGTTCATTTCCTGAACACCTGTATTCCCTTTCTACTTATATGTAAATAGGTTACATCCTAACAGTAATAATAGTATGGCCGAACAGGTGTATGTTCAGGCTTTGTGTATACTAGGTAATAGCAAACAAAGTAATTAGATTGCTTGATCATCTATTTTCCTTTAAACAGACCCCTCGTGTACACAGCTTTCATGCATGGATATACAAGCTACTTGCAGTCTTAAAAAAAATTGCGTGTAGAACCCAGACTTGGGCTACCCTCCGAATAACGGTCCTAAATTATCGAGGCGGAAAATATACCCTAACAGGGCCTCAGTTAAGTGTCAGTTGCGCACCTCCGGGGACTATACCGCCACCACCGAGAGTATCCCGACACCGCTCACGCGGCATGGATTGGGGCTAAACTACATGGACTCACGAGCAAATAAAATGAAGGAAGCTGCAGGAGATGCTGTAGCTGCTGCTCGTGAGTCCCAGCCATCTGTTTAGCCCCAATCCACGCCGCGTGAGCGGTGTGGGGGATACTCTCGGTGGTGGCGGAAGTCGCCGGAAGTTCGCAATTTGAGACTACGGTGCGCAATTGACACGTGACTGAGGCCCTGTTAGGGTATATTTTCCACCTCAATAATTTAGGACCGTTATTTGGAGGATAGCCCAGACTTGTGTTTGCAAGCCAATATTTACGGTGGCATGCTCAAAATTAAGGAGGGTGAGAAAACGTCTCTATTAAATAAAAAAAAAATGAATTCAATTGTTTGTTTTAAGTTAGTGTTTTATTTTAAAGTGGAAAGAATCTGACCACAGTGGCAATATATATATATATATATATATATATATATATATATATATATATATATATATATATATATATATATATATATATATATATATATATATATATAATATGGCTCTCCTTTGAACTTACCCCCAAAATGGCGGCCACATTCTGGCCATAAAATATCCAAAAATATCCGAACGACGGTGTTCACGTATATCTAAAATACGGACTTTCTGCCAAGGAACAAATCTCGGCAAGACTAGGATTACTTGACAATCAATATCAACATTGCACACAGTAGCAGTTTCTGCAGACGATAATAGCAGATGATAGGAGCAGACGATAATTTTGAGCGTTTCTGCAGACGGCGCAAAACGCAGGATTGGGGACTAAACTAGGTGCCTGGGACTCACGAGTAAAGTAACTGGAGGAAGTTGCAGGAGATGCGGTAGCTGCTGCTAGAGTCCCAGCCATCTAGTTTAGTCCCCATCCGCACTGCGCATAGCGGCACGGGGGATACTGTCGGCGGTGACGCAGAAGCAGGTCTGCAAGTAACGTTTCGCCAAGACCCTGTTAGAGCATTTGTTTCATTATGCAGAGCCGGCACATATAGTTTTAATAGAACTGAGCCCCATTCTGATATTTTTGGATATGTTATGGCCAGAAATTGGCCAATTTAGCTCTCTTTCGGACGGCATCATAATACGGCTGCCATTTTGGGGGTAAGTTCAAAGGAGAGCCTATTATATAAAATTATATATAGATAGATGGATATACGTATAATTTTATTTTTAATAATACATTAATTGGCAAAACTAAAATGTGTTCTTTTCTTAAATCACAGCAAATGTTTTTCTCTGCACTAAAACAAATGCCTGTAAAATGACAACGTGCTAAAACAAAAAGGAAGCCATTACATTATTCAATTCTCAGATTCTTAAATATCTATTAATAATAAATTAATAATGATATTATTGTTTTCGTTTCTTTGGATTCCGTTTTGTTTAAAAAAAAAGAAAGTTCCTGTCACCCTAAGCGTTTCTTTGGAACGCTTCGCAAACCGGAAATGCCACGCCTTTTTAAAATTCAAAACCTATCTCGAAGTTTTCTAACAACTCAATTATTTTATGATATGGAGATTAAAAAAAGGACTTGCTATTAGTAAAATACAATATGATAAAAATAAGTAATAAAATCATAATTAATATACGTAAATATAAATATTAAATAAAATATGTGTATTTTTTTGAACTGATGAATGACAAACAAATATTGTCCCGCGGATGTGTCAATTTTTAAATCTTGTGTGTAGCATTTACAAAACTATATTATTTAACGTAACGAAACTTTTTCAATGCGATTGTTTATTTTTCTTTCTTGGCGTTCATATAAATACACTGTAAGTCATTATTTAATTTTTATTGCCTGTTTTGTTTCTTACAAAATTAATAGTGGTAAAACTAAAAGTATCCTTTTGCAAAACTGAACAATAAAATAAAATTGTAAACAAAAAGTAGCTGACTGACTGACTTTCTTCTACCCCACGCCCACCAGGACATCACACAAGCGATAAACACCCAGTGACACAAAGTGCCAGCATGGAGATGAGGATCGCCGTGGAGAGGTCCCAGAAACCGCGTTCAGACAATTGGCCATATTTATGGCCTGCCTTTATTGCGGCCCCTGGTGCAAAAGCCAGGGTGGGGCTTCAAGTAACAAAAAAATGTCGCCCTAAAATAAAAGGGACGAAACACCATAAACATGATAAAAAAAAGTAGCCTGTAAAATATACATCTAGATTAAATTATAAAGAAAACAAATTATTCGCTTTATTACTTGCAGTTTAGTTATGAGGATCCCCTTCGAACAGTTCCATCTACTGTTGATCTGACACTGATACGGCTCGCAATATCAACGTGAGACAGGCCGCATAATATTAATGTGGTAATCTTTGTTTCTGTCAGCTTCATGGCCAATGGGTCACCCTATAGTTGCTCCGGTCCTGCATTTACGAAAAACACACACAGAATGTCCATTACTTTCCGTTGTAAAATTTTTACACAGACTGCAGGCTCAGCATAACCACTAGCATACACCCTCATTAAAAGCATAAGGCAGCCATCAGAAGCGCTAACACAGTCTGATATTAGATCATTAGAAATGAAGTTTATCATTAACACAGTTACAAACATATCAACAGTTGCACCCGCAATCATAATCACATAAGGCATCATCAGTACCGTGGCAACAGGCTAATCACCATTTTCTGAATTTACAGTTCACAACACCACATTGGTCACAGTTTAAAAGCATTCCAAATGAAATCCACAGCTCACAGTTTCGAGCCATGCACTCAGCTCAGCTGGGAAGATGTGAAAAAAGAGAACGGTTAAAGCGTTGACAGTAAAGAAAACATGACATCCCTGCAACATAGGAGAGGCCCTGCAATCAGATGAGGCATGAATGGGAAGGGAAGTCACTCTCTTTCTGGGGGGGAAAAACAATGTTAGTTGCAAATGTCCATTTTGATCGAACAAGCTGCTTATTTTTCCCGGTGCTTTTCAATTTGTTGTATCGAAGATATTAAAACAAGACTGACTGACTGACCTTCTACCCCACTAGGACATCACACAAGTGATAAACACCCAATGACACAAAGTGCCACCATGTGGATGAGGACCGCCTTGGGGAGGTCCCAGAAACCGCGTTCAGACAATTGGCCATATTTATGGCCTGCCTATATTGCGGCCCCTGGCAAAAGCCAGGGTGGGGCTTCAAATAACAAAAAATTCCGTCCTAAAAAGGACGAAACTGGATAATCCAAGATCGATATAAGCCATTAAAACAAGACTTGATATGGCAACAGCCACAATATCCCTGCTGAATACAATGTGGAGCCACAAAATCAGCATAACAGTAAAGGTAAATTTATACAGATCACTGGTATTGACTATCTTCTTACATGGATGTGAGAGTTTTACTCTCAATTCGAAAATGGACATGAGAAGACTTTCAAGTATAAAGGCTGTAGACAAATTTTACAAATGATCTATTTAGATTATAAAACTAACAAATTTGTGAGAGACAAATAAAACACATTTGCAAGATATCAGGAGCTCTTTTGGCAGTGGTGAAATGTCACAAGCTAGTTGGTTCAGGCACATGGTGAGTCATGATTTGATTGCATAGACTATACTTCCAGAAGCGGTGGGGGAGGGGGGGGGGGGGGGGGGGGTAATTCCAAGAAATGATGGGTGGTGGTTAATTGGAAGTAGGGGGGGGGGGTAATTCAAAGAAAGGGGGTGGGAGGAGGGGCAAAGAAGAACCTAGAATGGCAATATCAGTAAATGGACACCACTAAATGATTATGCGGTTGTTCAAAACAAGTGGAAGACAGAGAAGACGGTGCTTTTGTCTGCTGGTGCTTCCATTAATACACCTCCATGACCTTAACGGGTCAAGGGTTATGTTATATGCACACCGCTCCCAGGATCATACGACGTATACAAATAAGCCGGATCTGTAAAACGCAAGTGCATGCAAAAACTTGAGTTCTGGAACAAGACTAAAATCCAGAAATGGATGAACAACTAGAACATTCCTCCAGCTGGTGAACACTAAAAAGAAGAAGAGTTGAGTAAAAGTAGCTGTGAATTAAACAAAATTTTTTTTAATCATCAAATAGCATCAAAAAAGGGAAATACCTGGATATAATAATTAGTGTCTAAACAAACAAACAAAATAATATTATATGATTTGTGTATGTCGAAGGTCAGAACAACATGTCTGAAGGCACAGGTTTGGACAAGCTTGGGATTGCCACAGGAAAACATTTGAACATCGCCTTAACCACATCCTCTGACCCGCTGAATGCCATCCAGGAGTTTCAGAATGTCAATGGCATTGATGCAGAGTCCTTGAAGATCGCCCTGCCATTTCTGGACCTGCATGGGGTTAAACGGCTAACTTTGAACTTGTCTATATTTGAAACGGTCAGAGAGAGGCTTCTGCAGGTAGGCCAGATTTTATGTTTCAGAATATGGCAACTTTTACCATCTTCTCTTCGTCCATCGTCTTCTTCTTCTTCTGCTTCTTTTGCTGGTTATCTTATATATCTGTACGGCTCGCTAGCGTAGTTGGCTAAACCTGACTTCGTGGTGACCAGGTGATGAACTCCTTGTGGTCCGGGTTCACGCCCGGGGGTAGGCGGAAAAGCCACATTTCTCCAAGATTTATGGTATTTATCATGGAATCAAAGCCAAAGGGTTGCGATATCCATAGTACCAAGCCAAAGGGTTACTTAACTCATGGTTTCTGGATATATATTAAAAAAATCTTAAATATCCACAGCCTTCTTTCTTCTATATTAAAATTAAATTTCAGTATAGATATATCTCCAGTCAATAAGGGTACACTGTGCAACATTTTATTGCTAGATCATCCGTTGTTCATGTCCCCTTTTTAACTGTTGTGTTGTCACATTTTCTGTTTTCTTTCCTTTCTACTCATCTGTTATCACAACATATTCCACTTTCATCGCCTTTTTACTCTTCTGTTATCACAGCATATTGTAGTTTATTTCCTTTCCACTCTTCTATTGTCACAACATATTCTAGTTTGTTTCTTTTCCACTCTTCTATTGTCACAGCATATTCTAGTTTTTTTTCCTTTCCACTTTTCTGTTGTCACAGCATATTCTAGGTTATTTATTTTCCACTCTTCTATTGTCACAACATATTCTAGTTTATTTCATTTCCGCTCTTCTATTGTCACAACATATTCCAGTTTATTTCTTTTCCACTCTTCTGTTGTCACAGCATATTCTAGATTATTTCCTTTCCACTCTTCAGTTGTCACAGCATATTCTAGTTTATTTCCTTTCCACTCTTCTGTTGTGACAGCATATTCCAGTTTATTTCCTTTCCACTCTTATATTGTCACAACATATTCTAGTTTATTTCCTTTCCACTCTTCTATTGTCACAGCATATTCCAGTTTATTTCCTTTCCACTCATCTATTGTCACTACATATTCTAGATTATTTCCTTTCCACTCTTCTATTGTCACAACATATTTCAGTTTATTTCCTTTCCACTCTTCTATTGTCACAACATATTCTAGATTATTTCCTTTCCACTCTTTTGTCACAACATATTATAGGTTATTTCCTTTCCACTCTTCAATTGTCACAGCATATTCTAGTTTCATCCTCCTTCCACTCTTCTGTTGTCATATTTTCCACTTTCTTCTCCTTTAATTCTTTTTTCCTCATCTCTTGACACACCATTTTATAATTTCTCCCCTTTCAACTCCCGTCTCGACACATGTCTGATGTTTAAGTTTCCTCTTTTCCCCCACAGAGAATTACAGAGCTGGCCACAGTCAATGATCCAGAATCGACACAAAAACTGGAGTCCCTGTTGGACAGTAGCTTTCCCGCCATTAAGAACAAGGACATTAGACCTATTGTCATGGCGATTATGAAGCACCTACCCAAGGTCAAGGAAGAATATCTGAAACACTTGTTAGAGGACAAGGTGCGTAGCTTGAGATGTTTTAGTCCAGTTTTTGTCAAATGATTTTGGTGTTTGAAATGTTTTAGTCCAGTTCATATCATTTGTTTTTGGTGTTCTTTTTAGACAGTAGTCTTTTCTTTAATTTGTTTTTGGTGTTCTTTATAGACAGTGGTCTTCTCTTTGAAATGCAACATAAATAGCAGGTTCCATATGTAGCTGGTCTTGTTAACGTTATTTTGGCACGGATAATTAGACTGAAATACTTCAGTCATACGAAACTCTTTCTTGTAGCTTGTCATGTTGAAGATCTTTTCGGAGGGCAAATAAGACAGAAATACCTCAGCCATACTAGACACTTACCTGTAGCTTCTCTTGTCAAAAGTCTTTTGGCAGGGAAAATATGACTGAAATACTAGACTCATTCCTGTAGCTTGTCATATTAAAGGTTTTTGGCTGGGGAAATTAGACTGAAATAATTCAGCCATGGTAGATGCTTACCTGCTGCTCCATAGGTCTTGGGTTAAAATCTGCTTTGAATCATTTTAGTTTTCAAAATTAAGCTTGGATCCTAGATTGACCCCGCTTTAAATAGTTACCTTGTTTTTGTGTGTGCATATTGATATTGTCTGATGTGTTACTGGCGTAAAAAGGGTTCTTTGCTTTTACTACTTGCAGTAGCCATATTGAAAACCATAATGGTAATGTAGGATATAGATTTAGGAAGAAGAGGCAGGGGTCAATCAGCACAATGGTGGGCACAGGATATCAAGGACAGCATGGGTGTGAAATGTCAAAAGGTGGGAGAATTGACAAGGGACTGTTTGGTTTTCCATGTGCTGCAAATAAGAGCGAAATTCTGCAGGGTGGTCTGCTACATGATGATGATGATGATGATGAGCGCATAATTAGCTGCTGTTTTAGAAATATTCAGAATAGAAAAGCTTCCCCAGGAAAGCTAACCCGGGCAGCAGATGCCTGCAAATGTTGGATGTGTCAGCCAAAAGGTGCAAATATCACAGCCTGTTGTAAACAAACAACACAATCATTTACATCTTTGGATGAACACAACAGAAGAAGAAGAAGAGAAGCTACCCACAAATGAATATTTCTTCTTCTTCTTGATGTTCACAGAAATTTATGGTTGTTTGTCCACTTTGATCTTGACCCAGAACTTGATTTTTGTATGCATAATCCATTTTACAGATCTGGCTGATTTATGTGCAGGGTATTGGTTCATTACATCTCACCTTGAGTTTGAAGGAAACACCTCTAATTAGTCACCTCCTACAACATGCTTTATAAGGGGGGCAGTGGGTCTGTTCTTTATTCTTCAGAATGAAGCCTCAGAACCACACTGGGAAAACAAATATTTCTTCTTCTAACCTCCCAGTGGTGCATAGGTCTTCAACCAACTCATGCCAGATCATCGTTTTATCCTTCGCTATCGCATGCAGCTCTCCCCATGTCCTTCCTCCTCATCTTTTTAATTTCACTCTCCATCACTATTGTTTTTCATCACTAACATTAATAAGTATGTATTTTTCAGTCATAAATAACAAGAAAATTTGATATGTGAGAATGAGGGGCAGACCAAGAGATAATTAGATGGCTTGATCATATGGCATGGACAGGAGAAAACAACTGATCTATGACTGATGATTCAGTGATGTGGCAAATTATGACTGCCTCTGTTAATCCGTGACTGGTGATTCATTGAAATGGCAAACTGTAAACTGTAACTGCCTCTGCTAATCTGTGACTGGTGATACAGTGAAATGGCAAACTGTGACTGCCTCTGCTGATCCGTGACTGGTGATTCAGTGAAATGGCAAACTGTGACTGCCTCTGCTAATCTGTGACTGGTGATTCAGTGAAATGGCAAACTGTGACTGTCTCTGCTAATCTGTGACTGGTGATTTAGTGAAATGGCAAACTGTGACTGCCTCTGCTGATCCGTGACTGGTGATTCAGGCTAATTGCAAACTGTGACTGCCTCTGCTGATCAGCATGGTACATGATATGTTGATGCCCTGTGTCGGTTCCAGGACCCTATTGTAGGGAAAACAAGAATAGATCCACTGCCTACCCAAAAGCATGTCGTAGAAGTCAATTAATTGGGTGCTTCCTTCGAAGTCAGTGTGCATCTGCCTGAGAGGCAAGGAACCCACAGTCTGCATAAAAATGGGTCACATCTGTAAAATTGATGTGCACGCAACACACAGAGGTTCTGGAACAAGACTGCAGTCCAGAAGTTGACAAACAACCAGAACTGTCCCCTAGAGTTTACAGCTGGTGAACTCAAAAAAGAAGAAGATATGTTGATAATGATGATTTTAAGCATAATGAGCCATTTTATGTGATGTTCAGATCTTGCATAATTTTGTATTTTTCTTTTTGACATTTAGATATTTGTAGGATAAAAAAAAAAAAACAGTTACTAACTCCTAATGTTTCAATATTTGTGACTCTGATTAGGAGCTCTACAATGAAGCAGCGACAGAAGTCAAACGTCAGATCTGGGAAAACAATCAGGCCCTGTTTGGAGACGAAGTGCAACCCCTTCTAGCTCAGTACTTGAAGGAGAAGGAATGGTCCCTCTACCGCCATGACAGTCCTGGCCTGACCTATTTCTCCCCGACTCCCAAGCAGCGAAGACAGAAGGAAACACTGACACAGTTGCTGGAGATGATTGGCTCCAACGTGAAACTGTACGATATGGTTCTGCAGTTTTTGCGCACCTTATTCCTGCGAACAAGAAACCCCCATTACTGCACGCTGAGGTACTTGTTTTGCTTTGTTTTTGCACCATTGTTTTCTTTGGGCATTAGGTGTGATTCTGCTGGCAATCAACATCATGAAAGTCAATTTCCCCTTTTGGCGTTGAGTGTCATGGGGGGGGGGGGGGGGAACTTGTGATCCGTTACTCGATGGGTAGCACTGGCTTATATCATTCTGTGTCAATTTAGAATGTCTTTAATGCTTGACAGCGCTTATAGAATCATCATCATCATCATTAAGTGCCTTGCCAGCTGGCGTAGACGTTCATGCATCTCCACATATCTGGGTCTTTGGTGTTCTGGACAAATTCCACTGAGGATATCCCTCCTTGTCACTGTCTTAAGCCATCATCATCATTTTTCTTGATCTGCCTTTCCATCTTCCACCAGTGTTCTTTCCAGTTGTCACGATGATAAAATCATGCTTTTGCTTTATTTTTACTCTATAAATCTGGAAAAATGACAGTTGAACAAATAAATTCCCTACTGGTTGAATCAATGTGCTGCGGAAACCACCAACATTAGAACTCTTAGCTGACTGCTGGTTGTTGACATAAAGAAAGTTGTCAAAAGTGTGTGGTTGGAATGTCAAAGAAAGCCAACAAATAGTGTTCTCTTCTGTTACATTGTGAGGGAGTAACTGCTTTCGGGGTTGGGCAGGCAAGGCAAGGGAAGTAACTGGATAATCACCAGCTGTTGTTGGTTTTGAGGCAGGACATGTACAGGAATTCATAAAATCTGTGTATTAAATGTCATCTGAATATCTCATGTGCACAGAAAAGATGTTATCAAAAACATTTCAGTAAAAATTAAGGGGTACCAGCGGCTCCTTCAGAGGGAAGACAAGGAGATGTAACTCTGTGTTGTATAATTGGCATTCTCTCTTCAGTTTCACAATGAGTCCCAGATATTCACTGGTGTTTTGATTCCCTTCACTGGTGTTTCTATTCCCTTCGCTGGTGTTTCAATTTCCTTCACTGGTGTTTTGATTCCCTTCACCGGGGTTTCGATTCCCTTCACTGGTGTTTCGATTCCCTTCACTGGTGTTTCGATTCCCCTCACGGGTGTTTTGATTCCCTTCACGGGAGTTTCAATTCCCTTCACCGGTGTTTCAATTCCCTTTGCCGGTGTTTCGATTCCCTTCACTGGTGTTTTGATTCCCTTCACTGGTGTTTTGATTCCCTTCACTGGTGTTTCGATTCCCTTCACGGGTGTTTTGATTCCCTTCACGGGAGTTTCGATTCCCTTTGCCAGTGTTTCGATTCCCTTCACTGGTGTTTTGATTCCTTTCACTGGTGTTTCGATTCCCTCCACTGGTGTTTGGATTCTCTTCACTGGTGTTTGGATTCCCTTCACTGGTGTTTCGATTCGCTTCACTGTTGTTTTGATTCGCTTCACTGTTGTTTGGATTCCCTTCACTGGTGTTTCGATTCCCTTCACTGGTGTTTCGATTCGCTTCACTGTTGTTTTGATTCGCTTCACTGTTGTTTGGATTCCCTTCACTGGTGTTTCGATTCCCTTCACTGGTGTTTCGATTCCCTTCACTAGTGTTTTGATTCCCTTCACTGGTGTTTCCATTACCTTTACTGAGGTTTTGATTCCCTTCACTGGTGTTTGGATTCCCTTCACTGGTGTTTCGATTCGCTTCACTGTTGTTTTGATTCGCTTCACTGTTGTTTGGATTCCCTTCACTGGTGTTTCGATTCCCTTCACTGGTGTTTCGATTCCCTTCACTAGTGTTTTGATTCCCTTCACTGGTGTTTCCATTACCTTTACTGAGGTTTTGATTCCCTTCACTGGTGTTTGGATTCCCTTCACTGGTGTTTCCATTACCTTTACTGAGGTTTTGATTCCCTTCACTGGTGTTTGGATTCCCTTCACTGGTGTTTCCATTACCTTTACTGAGGTTTTGATTCCCTTCACTGGTGTTTGGATTCCCTTCACTGGTGTTTCGATTCCCTTCACTGGTGTTTTGATTCCCTTCATTGGTGTTTTGATTCCCTTCACTGGTGTTTTGATTCCTATTGTAAGTGGTTTAAAAAAGATCATTTTCATGGCTTTCAAACATTTTGTCTAAAAGGTTCTTGATGAAAGAGATTGGGGCATCCCACATATTATTTCCATAATTAGCATAGCTACGTATCAATTGCAGCCAACCTCCATTGCGGGGACAGCACAGTATTTTTCTCTCTCACTGTCATTGTGTTTTTTTCAACTCACTTCCATTAGATAGTCATCAACATTGACTATGTCGCCGGGAGAAGCCACAAAACCAGCACTTCCGTTGGAGCCCATTCCCTCTAAATGCCATCTTTCCAGCTTGTCTGTAATGATCTTTTCACGAGACAAGTAATTAATGCTTTTGGCTGAGGTCATGCCCTCACACATCTTTATGAGATCAGAATGTGAATATATTATGGCATTGGTATATATATATATATACCAATGCCTTCAAACCAAATGTTTTTTTTTTTCAAAGCCAAGTTGATGTCAGATTTTCTCATAAGCCTCAGTGATACAAGTCATGGGTCATGAAATGAGTCGCCCAGTACATGTTTATTAATTACTCCTTTTAGGTACCTTTATATTAAAAAAAAAAAAAATTAACATATATACTTACATAATTTTAAAAAAAATGGTTTATTTTCTTCAAACAAATGTTTTTTTTTTAAAGCTATTTTAATGTAATTTTTTTCTTATAAGCCTCAGTGGTAGAGGTCACGGGGTCATGCCATGAGTCGCCCAATACATGTTTACTGATTACTCCTTTTATGTACCTTTATTTATTGTTAACAAAATTAACAGACATAGATACATATTTTTTTAAACTTTTACTAGTGACCTTTGTAACATTTATATTTTTAAAGGTTTTCTTTTGAGAATTCCTACGGAGTAATAACCCATTTTTTTTTTTCATGAAAGGGTTAAGCAGTTTGCAGACTGGCATGAATGCTCATGCTTCTCAACATCTTGCAACATATCTGTAACTAAATTATCAGTTTGTATAATTTCTTTCCTGTATAGATTTTACCTTCAGCTCCTTGTTTTTAATTTCAGGGTGGAGCTTCTGATGGCTATTCATGACCTGGAGTTGAACTCCATCTGCTCCAAGGACCCGTGCCACAAGTTTACCTGGTGTGTTGATGCTTGCATACGAGAAAAGGCAGTGAACACCTGGAGGTCTAGAGAGCTTCACGGCTTTCTGGATTCAGTGAATAAAGGACAGGAATTTGTTTTGGGGTATGTTGTATGCACTTTTGCCCCGAGTGTGGTTCTAGGGCCGCCATTTTGGGGACAAAAGCGACCAATTGAGGATTTGCTGTAATGAGATTTTGTTTGACCAGAATGGTGCACATATCACTGCCTAGCTGTGAACTACTACTCATGTCGACCACAGTTTTAAGGCAAGTGCAAAAGAAGAAGAAGAGGTGTGCACTTTTGGATTGTCAGCTTGAAAAACACTGTTAACTCATGCTTGTGCTTGTTGTTGTTGTTGTTATCGATCCAGCGGCGCATGAGCTTTCGCCCTTTGGCCCAATGCCATGTAGTGGAATTTGCATGTTTTCACAATCTGTTCTTTTCCTCCGTACAAGGTGTTCCTACAAGGTGGTCTCGTATGCTTGTGCTTATGGGGGTGTCCCGAGTGCTGTGATATCAATTCTTAATTCAACTCATTCTTGTGAGAAGAGTTGTGCTGTTTGCTACCAAAGCACAGTTCCCATGAAGGAAGCAGAAGAAAGTAACACTGTAAACTGTCATGCATGTTGTAAGGGGTGATTAAAGAGGGTTGTTGGCATGTGGGACTCATTACCTCATCTGTGTGTAAGTGTGTGTGTGCATGCATGAGGTTTTTCTTTTTTTTTTTTTTTTTTTTTTTTTTAAACTTTATTTTACTTCCATTTTGAGTCTACTTTACTTTTATGACACTCACTCCACTTTAATTGCTGATGCTTGGAAGTAAGTTGTGTATCCTTTATATGATGTTGCAGAAGCAACTCAGCATTTTTTGACTGTTTGTGATTTCACTAGGAAATTTTACATTCAGTAGTTTGCCATTACTTACTGAACAGTCCGCTCTAGATACCACTGTTGAAATAGCTCAAGGTGGTCTGCTGCCTAACTGCCCACAGCAGGGAGGAAACTGTGCACCTTAGCATTGTGAAACAGATACTTGAAAAACAAAATCTGTTTACGAGTCTCTCAACTGTTTAGTGATTTGTAAGGATTATCCTCGTGTGGGTTCCAGGGCTCCATTGTGGGAAAAACAAGAATAGACCCACTGCCTGCCCAAAAGCATATCGTAAGAGTCAACTAATTCGGAGCTTCCTTCAAAGTCGAAGTACATCTGCCTGAGTGGCAAGGAACCAACAGTCTGCATGTAAATAACTCAGACCTGTGAAATGATTGTACACGCAACAGTTTCTGGAACAGGACTAGAGTCCAGAAGTGGACGAACAATGAGAACTTTTCTGCTGGAACCGGCGAACGCGAAGAAGAAGTAAGGATTATCATCACAGCACTCCAAACAGGTCCATAGGTCCTTGGATCTCTTCCTCAAAAGCTTCACAAGTGTAAAATGACTGATGACTTTTTTTCTATGCTGATTAATCAAACATCTTTTGCCATTGTTGAAATGTTATTCTCGACTAAACAAAGTGATATGAGCTGACAGTTGTGGTTTCCTGTTGCCAGGGATTTGTCGATGGTGCTTGCTGACCCATATGCCATGAATATTATACTTCAGTCCCTGATGAAGATGCTTCAGAATTGTGTTAACACAGATACACTGCCACGAGTAAGTACATTTACAGTAAAACTGCGTTCATAATGCCTAAGCCACAGACACCAACAGATAAGTAGGTGAGCTTTTGAAAATGTCAGAGTCTGGCACAGGTGGCACAATGGTGGTTTGGCACTAGTGGCACAATGATGGTTCGTCACTGGTGGCACAATGATGGTTTGGCACTGGTGGCACAATGGTGGTTTCGTGCTGGTGACACAATGATGGTTTGACACTGGTGGCACAGTGATGGCTTGGCACTGGTGGCATAATGATGGTTTGGCACTGGTGGCACTTTGGTGGTTTGGCACTGTTGGCATAATAGGGATTTGACATTGGTGGCACAGGGATGGTTTGGCACTGGTGGCACAGTGATGGTTTGGCACTGGTGGCACAGTGAGTTTGGCAGTGGTGGCACAGATACAAAGGTGACAGAGCCAGAGGTCGACCACATAGAAGATGAACTGCTGGAATATCAGAAGCACTGAAAAGTACTGTATACAAAGTGAACAGAAGGGCCCGTTCTGGAGATCTCTTCCTGTCCTAATGCTGTGAGGCAATCCAGGTGTAGAGAAAAGAATAAGTACAAGGATTATGTTGTACTGTAGGGAGGCATGAGGATCACAGCCCATAGCCATTAACCCTAAGGATAAAGTTCTTGCTCTTCATATCACAAAGCCAGCAAAGTATTTTACCAGCTGCTTTTGCTTTGGTAGGAAATAAAGCCATCACCAGAATCCCTTGATTCTCTACTTTGTAAAGGATTAACAGCTCATTGCAGTAAAGACTGAAACAACAGAACAAACCAATATATAAGTGTCCAGCTTAAAGATGCTTCAACAGTTACTATGTACTTTTTGTGTAGGACAATACAGATCTGCAACTTCTGTGTCGAATGACAGCTTTAGGCCTTAATGCCTGGGAGATGATTGACAAGAGCAACTTTAGAGAGCCTAAATTGGTAAGTTATGAACAGTTTTGACGTATTATATAACAGTAAAATTAGAGAACTCATTTCCACACCTTTAGGAATATTGAGCATATAGACCTATATTTCATAGACCAGTCAGTGCTTGGTTGATGATTGGTCAGCATCACATCGGCCACCTTTACTTCCCAGGACTTTACCTGGTATCCATTTATGGCTAGTTCAACCCAGGAAACAAAGTCATTTGAAAAATTAAAATAAATTAGGCTCCGTCAAGATTTGAACCTACAACTTTTGAATCTGCAGGTGCAGAAAACTCTGTTTTCTAAACCACATTTTCACTTTACATTCACCTTCTGCGTCATTCACGAAATTTCTCCTGCTAACGTGGGTTTTCAGTGCATTAATTTGAATGCAGACCCATATGAGCGCCCTATTGCAGCTGCTATAGAGTCAACTGTTACTCGCCTGTCACCTCTGATCGTCTCTTCCACCTGCTGCATGGATGCGTCTGTTGCAGCCTCAAAGAGACAACCAGATCAGACTTCAACAAGCATTCGTAGAGCGTCTTTGTAAAAAAAAAATTTTTAACCTAGCTATGCACCGCTTTACGGGGTAAATATTTGTCAGCATAAACAGGAAGCATTTCCTTATAAATGTCTTTTGCAAGTAGACCTTTTGCCCCTGCCCCTCCCCCAGAAAAAAAAACACACACCAGCTCATTGTTCTTTAAGGGTACACTCGGTAAGTACAGCCACCATTTTGTTTCTGTGTTGTGAAATGTGCGTGCAACAGCTAGCGCCACCTATCAAACGGAGACATAAAGTACAACTTTGCTATCGCCTGATGACACCTTTAGAATCTACCAACTACATTTTCCTGCCATCCCATAACCATTGGTCTTACTTATTAATGTCCCCTAGTATATCCCAAGCTTTTGAAAAATTATCAGGCACGCAAGCGCGCGCGCACGCACACACATACATACATGTACACATTAACACCACACACATACACATAACACACTGACATCATTATATGCACACACACGCACGCACACAACATTAATACACTCCTAAATATCCATACATACACACTGAAGCTTATGTATACACACACTCATCCGCACCCATACATACACTCGCACTTACACACCGATGCACTGTCATATACACACTCTCTTACAGACACAGAAGTTCCGCCCTTGCATGCATACAATGAAGCCGAGCCTCTAGCCACTGAACTGCCATGGCTCCGGAATAATTGGTGCTATTTTTAGTTATCATACATTATGGCTAATTTATTATAGATGACTGTCATGAGTCAAGTTTACTACACACTGGGAGAGAAAGACAAACAACGACTGGACTGGTGTTGAATGTTGAATTAAGAAATTCGGGGACACTCCCATAAGCGCTCCGCCTCCAACTTCAGCAGCAAGTAAACAGTAGCAACTCTGATGGCACCAGTAACTGTCTCTTTTTAAATCAATCTCGCCTTTGCCTTAAGTGTTGAGCGTCAGCCCAATCCCCTGCTAATTCCTCGCAGCTCCATTTTCCTCAGACCGTACTGCTTTATTTGTGCCTCTGCACTGTTCACTCAGTTCCGAAGGGCACCCACAATATCTAGCTTGTCATACATCAGTTCACCACTAAGTGTTGCACAACCAGCCAGTCTGTCTGCCTGCTCATTTCCCAGCACACTGACCTGACCTGGAGAAAATATCCAAAGGATGCTAACTACTCGGGACCTCTAAAGTGATGCTTGCTACTCTGCATGGAGCATGCCTGTTTCCACCTTTCTAAACATGCTCTGTGAGTCAGTTACCTCTAGACAGGTGTTATTTTTAGATACATACATAATGTCTAATTGTATTATACGTGATGGTTGCTACTATTTTATACCCTTTGAATTAAACGCAACAGGAGCCAGCATTCTTCACAAAGTTCCTCGCCTACATGGTCACTCTGATGACCGAGGACCAGGTCCGGTTTTTTGCCACAAAAATTCCTGGCGAGGTTCCAGTGCCACCGCCGTTACCCCCAGACATGTACGCCACCTGGATCAGTCAGTACCCCTTGGCCAGCATGGTGGCTATGTATTACTGTTTGCAGGTAAGAGAACTGGAGCACTCATTACTTACTGAAACTCATGCGCTGGTGGTTGTATATTTTGTGTGAACTTTATCTTCCTCATTGTGAAGTTTGTCCTCTACAGTGTGAACAGTGCAAGTTTAGTCTTCTTTAGTGTGAACTTTATCTTCCTCATTGTGAAGTTTGTCCTCTACAGTGGGAACAGTGCAAGTTTAGTCTTCTTTAGTGTGAACTTTATCTTCCTCATTGTGAAGTTTGTCCTCTACAGTGTGAACAGTGCAAGTTTAGTCTTCTTTAGTGTGAACACTAAACATATGGACACTGGAAGGGAAAAGAAAAAGGGAAGCCCAAGAGAGACTCTGCGTAGAACCATCATCAAGGAAGGCTCAACCGTGGGCCTGATAAACTTCCAAGACCTGAAACAGGTGGCAACGAACAGCCAGACATGGAGAGCTGTGAACTCTACCCTATGCTTTGCCATAGGCTCAAATGGAAAGACTAACTGAGTGTGAAGATACCTTTATTAAATACGAACTTATATCTTTATTCATTGTGAACATTTATGTTTATTCAGTGTGAGCATTTATCTTTATTCAGAGTGAATGTTCATGTTTATTCAGTGTGGACATTTATCTGTGTTCAGTGTGAACATTTTATTCATTGTGATTGTTCATCTTTATTCACTGTGAACGTTTATTTTTATTCATTGTGAACGTTTATCTTTATTCATTGTGAAGGTTTATCTTTATTCACTGTGAACATTTATCTTTATTCAGTGTGAATTCACCATGTCAGTTCCTGGACTTTTTTAAGGAAACAAAAATGAACCCACTGCTCCCCTAACAAACATGTTGTAAAGGTCAACTAATCGTGGGTGTTTCCTTTGATGTCCAAGTGCATCTGCCTGAGGTCAGAGGGAAAACAAATAATTCTGCACTCAGAGAAGCCAGATCTGTGAAATGGATGTGCAGTCAAAGCTCAAATTCTGGAACACGCGAAAGCTCAAAAGATTGGGAAATTTATCTTTATTTACGTATGAACTATTATCTTCAATCACTGTGGACTTTTTATCTTCATCCACTGTGCTAGAATGAAGGACAGGCTGGCAGTTACCATGATCTTGCTAACATTTATCCGCCATGAAAGAAACCTAATGTTTATCTTTATTTTATGTGAATTCTGTCTTTATTTGGGTTTGAACTTTGATCCTTAATCAGTGTGGACTGTTTTTAACTTTATCCAGTGTGCTAGAATGAAGGACAAGCTGGCAGTCACCATGATCTTGCCCACACTTATCCACTGTGAGAGTAACCGAGCCTACAGCGACACATTCCTCCACTGTCTGTCCTCGTACCTGATCCACATGAAGGACGACTTTCAGCACGACGACTTCTGCACCGCCGTCCTGGATGATTTCTTTATGGTAAGTGGCCTCCATGGTGAGTAAGCCTTCCGCTGGCTTGAGAATCAGCAGTACACACATGTCATGATTGTTACTGAGTCACAGAGCAATGTTGAGAAAGGTGGAGATAGGCATGCTCCATGCAGAGTGGCAAGCATCACTGGGGTAGCTAGCATCCTTAGGATATTTTCTCCAGGTTGTGCCAAAATATTTTTGTCATATCAAGTGCCACAACGGATTAGAAAAAATTATATCAGAAGGCATGGTACCAGGAAGGAGGGGCAGGTGCCAACCAGCACGAAGCTGGGCACAGGATATAAGTGACTTCTTGAGTATGAAAGTACATGAGGCAGGAGAGCTGGTGAGAGACTGAGTTTCTTTCAGGCAGACTGTGATGAGAGCGACGTTCTGCAAAGAACCTGCTACATGATGATGATGTGCCGGTGTGTTGAGCAGGCAAATAGACTGGCCGGTCCTGCACCACTTAGTAGTGAATTGATGTATGGCAAGCTAGATGCGAGGGCTGTTTGTCAGTGAGTGAATAGTGTGGAGGCGAAAATAGATCCTTATGGTCGGTATGAGGAGAATAGCACTGTGAGGAGTTACCAGGGGCTTTGGCTGACGCTAAACACTCAAGGGAAAGGTGAGATGGAAATACAATCAGACAGTTACTGGAACTCTTTGTGCTGAAGATGGGGACGGAGCGCTTATGGAAGTGTCCAGAGTTCTGTGATGTCGAAATAATATTCAACCTCTGGGAGGAAAGAGGGTGACTGGGAGAGGGAGACCTAGTGTCATGGACTCAGATATTTATGTATCACCATAGAACATATCCCAGTAAAATCCCATTAACACAAATTCACTGAAGATGAACACAGTCAACATGAACAAAATGTCGGCCCCCAGCAGGGACTTATTATTTTTAGTCTCTGGTTAGCACACATATACAATTCTTCTGTTCTATCCATTGGCTTTGTTAGGTTATTTTCAGTCTTTCTGTCTTTGATCTAGTTTTTCTGGCACCTACCCTTCTGTAACGCTTTCTCCATTTATCCCAATTTTCCACTTTTCTATCTCTTCTCTAGCTAAAGAAGTAATTAAGCTCAGTACATGGGTTCCATTACTTCAGTAATAATTAAGGGAGAAATAAGTTAATTCAGTGTACCAGTAAGCGAACTCTGTTAGCTGCTGAGAAAGGGACAGAGCATGTAGGTGAATGTTATAAGTGCAGTGATGTTGAGTCTCAATTCATTCACTCCTTTATACATTAGCTTATTTTATGTTGAGGTTTTTTAAATACATTATGTCCCATAATTTTTTTTTTTAAATCAGTTAAAATAAAAAGGTATACTATTGAATCACTTGCAGCTGAATTCTAAACAGAGTATTTCAGAAATATGAAACCCCTTTCATAATTTATTAGTACCCTTAACTTTAGAACTACCTTTATCCGTTACTAAATAACGAGTGAATGTTTCTGTGATCTCCTGCAGCCTGCAGTTTCCAGGGAGCATGTTCTGAGACATCTGCTGAGGTTGTTGATGTATGTCCACCACAGATTACCACGGCAACGTCTGGATGCTGTCATGGAGGAGATAACTCAAGATAAAGATGTAAGAACATAATAAATGTAGCGGAGATAAAGATGTAAAAACATAATAAATGTAGCGGAGATAAAGATAAAGTAAATACTAAATAAAGTCGAAGATAAATAAATCAGTAAATACAAAATGAAGCAGAGATAAAGAAAGATAATAAATGTAATAAAGATAAAAATAATATGCCGTTTGGTTTGTGCAGTTGCTACAGACTGTGAAGGTTAAGATCCCGAATCTCCTGCATCAGAACCCTGTGCTGTAACCGCTTTGCTGGCCACTGCTCACTAAGTAAGAGCAATGAATCATTTTTGCTCACCTTCAGACGTATTAGGCATATAGGGCTAGATATGTATTTTATAGACTAATCAGCACTAGGTTGGTGATGTAGTCAGCAACACGCTGGCCACCTTTACTTCCCAGGACTGCATCTGGTACCCACTCAAGGCTTCGTCATTTTTTTTTAAAGGCAGGCTCCGTAAGGACCCGAACCTATGACCTTCTGATTTCCAGGCGAGCATCTGACTGCTACAGGGTATATTGGGTTTAGTCTGAATTGTTTGTTTTGTACACTTGCTGTGAACTCCCACAGAAAATCCTGGTTGTTCCTCAGTTTGGACTTTGTGCCAGGCCTGGAGTTTTGCGTGTACATCCGTTTTGCTGGCTTATTTATGTGCAGTATGTTGTTCCGTGTGACTTGGGTGGATATATTCTGACTTTGAAGGAAGACGTCGATCCTGTCTGTAGGATGACTGTATCCATAGACTGAATTGGCATGGTAACAAAAACCACTTGAAAACTTATAATTGCTCAGTCGGTTTATCCCCACAGAATGCTACCACCCTCGTATAAATAATAAAAAAAATAAATCCAGATGGAAAGCCAACAGGGCAGGTAACAGATATCCTGTTCAGCTTCTATTGAAGTTATAATTATGGCACCCATAATGCTACACTGAAAGGTCTGAAGTAAAAGCAAGAGGCCGCCCTATGAGAACATGGATTGATGACATTGAAAAGCTTCTACATCGCACTTCGTGTTTCTGTGTAGTAAATTGTTAAGAGTTAATGATTGGTGTGCAAAGCAGCACATGCATGCTTTTTTCATGATGGTAATTTCTTCTCTTCGGCATCTCCTGTGCAACCTTCTGGTACTGAAAGAATGCAGTCGTTTTGAACAGTTCTGATATTTATAAATTATAAGTTCTTCGACATGACTGTTGAGATGAATTCCATGGCAGACCTTTGAAAACATACAATGGCCACAGTTCTTGGCTAATTGGGAACCACTGATGTAGAAAAAGGAACCAATTTTTTTTTAAGTAGAACTGGAAAAAAAAATTTTGGTTTTGAACAATATAAGATTATGGTTATTTCATGCCAGATAATAATGTAGTGTTGGCAAGACAAAGATGTATAAGTAATTAAGTAAGTGTGTGTGTGTGCGTGCATGCAGAGAGAGAGAGTTATTGCTGTATGCAAATAATTTTGATTTCATTTAATCATTGAAGTATAACAGATAGTAGAGGTTGCTGAGAAATGGGAAAGAAAATTCATGGATTTTTGAGGGGAATTAACCCTGTCATTTTGGGAATGTCAGAATGGATCATGACCCTATGGAAATTCGCCCCAAAAATCCTTAAAAACAAAATGTTTCACAGATCACTAATTAATTTTCAGAAAGTTGTTTATCTACATACCACAAACAAAATTTTGAAACACATAAAGAGATCTAACTGGAATAATAAACACGAATAAAGTGAAGCATTAAATGGAATACATTTCCCAGGACCTTAAAAAACAATATGTATCAGGTGAGTGATGTCATGACCATGTGACCTTTATCTCAGGCTTACAGGAAAATTTGGTATGAACTTGACCTTAAAGTGCTATTTAATTCGAAGGAAAAAATACTAATTTGGCTAATGTACCCTGACCTTTGCAACATATGCACAGGTGCAAACCAAGCCAGTAGCATTAGATATAGATCTCCTAAACACATGACTATAGACAAATTGGAAAAGTGAAATTTGTAGGGAATAGCACTGCACTGAAAGTGTCGGCTTTGCGACTTCTCAGGGCGATGGGGTAAAGAACAGACATCACAGCACTCAGGACATTTTCTATAGGCACTTGTTCAGCTTCCTGGACAGAGTTCACATGTCACTGATGCCATGCACAGTGTGACAATATGTTTTGTCTTTGCTCTGTGTGATAAGCATCAGCCAGATTCTCCGGTCACTCTCCGCTGTATCATTCTCTCCAGCCCTTCATTATCTGTTCATTCTTATACTTTGTTCTCATGATTCAAAAGGGTGTGATCAACAATACTACTCTGTCATGTGTCAGTTCAGTAACTAAGTTTTGAAGCAAAGCCAGTCCATCTGCTTGTTCATTCCCCAATACACATCCCCCCCCCCCCCTCCCGGAGAGAAACGGTCTAAATCGATGCATGTCACTCTCCTTACTCTTCCAGTTGCTGAATTATTTGTTCGTATGTTTGACTCAGATATACAGATGACACAGTTCTCTGCTCTACCAATATCAAAAGTGATGAACACCAGTTAAAGCAGGCAAGTGAATTTACAAATCTGGGCATATTTTTAGAAGACGGAGGAGTTAATTAAATAAAATCCAGCAAAGATGCAATAAAGCCAGTCACGTTTTAGGCCAAATGGCACCAATTTTAAAATGCAAACGTGAATATGAACACTGTTCAACACATTATTCTTACCAAGGCTATGCTATCAGTGTCATACATGAACACTGTTCAACACATTGTTCTAACCAAGGCTATGCTATCAGTGTCATACATGGACACTGTTCAACACATTGTTCTAACCAAGGCTATGCTATCAGTGTCATACATGGACACTGTTCAACACATTGTTCTAACCAAGGCTATGCTATCAGTGTCATACATGAACACTGTTCAACACATTGTTCTAACCAAGGCTATGCTATCAGTGTCATACATGAACACTGTTCAACACATTGTTCTAACCAACGCTATGCTATCAGTGTCATACATGGACACTGTTCAGAAGACAAGGAAAATAGTTACAACAGTAACAAACTCAACAGGAAAGAACAAACATCAATGTTTAGACTTTGGACGGGACACTGGTCTTCGAGCACACCTGTACAGAATAGGCGTAAAAGAATCTGCTGCCTGTGATTGTGGAGCAGAAAGACAGACCCCTGAGCACATACTACAGTACTGCCCTAACCTCTCCCAGCAAAGACTGGATCTGGCCCAATGGAGCCACATTGCAAGAAAAGCTATGGGAGACCGGTGGCGACCTTAAACGCACAGTCCTATTTGTGACCCAGACGGAACTCAATGTTTAGCATGACTGATGTCGAACGCAGAAGAAGAAGAAGAGCTAAAACAGTAATGAAATGTTTACCTACTATACTAGGTGTAACGAGGAAAGATCGACTTAGTAACGATGATATCAGGAGCAGAGTCGGGCACAGAACTAAAACTAAACTTTATAGCTAGACAGCAGGTTGAATGGTTTGGCCATGTAACAAGACTGGCATCAGACAGGGCACCACAGAGAGCATTGTTATACAGATACAGCGGTAACAGAACCAGAGGTCGACAATGCTAAACATGGACCGCAAAAAAATCAGAGATATTCAAAAGTACTTTATGCGAAGCGAACAGAAGGGCCCGTTCCAGAGACCTCTTCTTACCCTGAGGCTGTGAGGCATCCCAGGAGTAGAGAAAAGAAGAAGAAGACAGTTCTCTGCAAGAGAATACAGGGCTTGGTAGGATAAATTCTGAACATCAAAAAGTTACAGTGAAGAAAAGAATATTTTTCTGAATTTAAAAAACAAAAACAAAAATAATGTCCACAATGAATACAGCCCACTAACCATGTTAATAAATTAACGAAGAGAGTGAAAATGTCACAGATTTGGACTATTTAGGTTCACTATGAAAAACAACGGCGACAGTACAAAAGAATTTAGAACAAGTCCTGCTTTAGCAATGAAGAGGCTAAGTAGCACGAAGAACCGATGGTACAGCAGCTGCCAGAAAATTTAAGTAAACATTTTAAAATGCACCATTCCTGTGGCAACTTGTGGCTGTGAGTCCAAGACTCTCACTTAGTCTTTGAAGACAACACTGGGATCTTTTGAACTGAAATGCTACAGAAAAATTATTAGAATACAGTGGTCTAAAAAGAAGAAAAATATCAGCATCCTGCATGATTTGAACACTGAGGGGAATAGGCTCATAAACACCATCCTCTTCTGAAAGCTGGGGTATTTGGCCTTGTTAAACGTCAAGGTGGCCTAGAGAACGGCGATGGAAGGTACAGTTTCTGGAAAACCTGGCACAGACTGACCTCTGCGAAGGTCGACACAAGACATTGAAGATGCGCTTGACTTGAAAGCATACAAGGCAGGAGAATTAGCTAGAGAAACATAAGAATTTATGATGTGCTGTGATAAGAGTGAAATTCTCTCTCTCTCCCTCCCTCCCCCCTCCCTCCCTCCCCCCTCTCTCTCTCCCTCTCTCTCTCGTTGTACCCCACCAGGACAACACACAAGTGATTAAACACCCGGTGACATAAACTTCCACCTGCGAATGAGGATCACCCATTGAGAGGTCCCAGAAACCCCGCTCAGCCGTTAGGCCATATTTCAGGCCCGGTTATATTCAGGGCCCTGGCAAAAGCCAGGGTGGGGCTTCAAATAACGAAAAACTGCATCCCACATGGGGACGACTTGAATATAAGAGCACAATTATGTAAAGGATCTGCTGATTGATGACGTCTGAATAAGAAAGTTCTTGTGCACAAAACATACATAATCATATTTTGTCAAGTATAAGACGCATAGGTAAGTCCCCGTGGTGGAGCGAGTGGGTACCGAGTGCAGTCCCGGGAAGTAAAGGCGGCCGGCGTGATGCTGACCACTTCACCCATCTTGTGCCGATTGGTCTATAAAAATATAGGTCTAGCCCTGTACGCCTAAAGGCATGTAAAAGGGTCCTTTGCTTTA